AAAAATTTTTCTTTTTTTTTTAGCAAAGTTCTGAAATACATTTAAATGTAGATAAGAATATTTTCATAATCAATTATACATAGCCACAGTCTCGAACTCATAAATTGAGCTTATTGTATAACTATTCCCTATTTAAGTTTTTATTAGGTAAAAAAATACTGTGGGTTGTGGGAAATTTTCAAGAAGAGATTAAGCCTAAAATATTTTTTTTATCATATTCTAAAAGAACGGTCGCCTCCCAAACTCCCTATTTTTTTTGGTGACAACCCGCCAAAACCTCCATCAACAACCCCCCAAAGAACCTTCCTCACGCCATTGACATACCCAGTAAACAACTAGACAACCCATCTTCTCTATCACAAAATAACCACCACTCAACTCACTGCTCTACCAATCAACTACCCAAACAACCCCAAACTTTCTTCCATTTTCATTCACTAAAAAACCTCGCTTCATCTCTCTTTTTTTTTCTGTGAACCAATGAGCCTCTAACTCATGCAGGCAACGAATTTCTAGTTAGCACAAAGAAGCTAATAATGGAGAACACAACTACGAAAACTAGCGCACGAAGCCAAATCAAGAAGAATAAACTATCAATTCTGACAAGCATTTCACTTTCAGATTTGCTCAGAAAAATAACACTTCGGTAACCTTTTTAATTTTGTATTTTTATATCTATCGGAGTTTATTTTAAGCTTCTTTATTGTTGTTAATCTTACAAAAATATAGTTCCTGTTTTTACTACCATGGCGTTTGCATTTATCTCGTTCTTTATTGATTTTTTTTTGCTATTAAGTTGTTGTTGCTAATAATTTGCTGCATAATAAATTATAGATATATCTATTTTCTCTTATTAAATAATGCTTAACTGTGGGTTTTTCGTGTTTATTTGTTCACATTTTTTTAATTATTGGCAAATTATTCCTCTATTTCTTTATTTAAATTTCTTTTGTTGTTGTTTGATTCCATTTATATTTTATTAACTTATTTTTTAATTTTATTTCAACTTAGAATAATATTTTTGATATATTGTCACATCGCTTTTATTTTATTGAATATTTGACATATAATTATAATTTTATGTTTTGGGTATAATTGTCACCATTGGTTTTTTTTCTTTATTTTATCAAGGTTGCATTCATATTATTTCTCAGTTTACAAGTTAAAATTTGCGGATGAAGAAATTATGGATGATTTCATAAGCCTCGCATGAAATGCGATGATTTTTTTTATTGATTATTACTTTCATTTATTAGATTCTCCTAAATTTGAAAAAAAATTAATTTAGCCGAGACCCAAAATTTTGGATTTCAATGGATGTCTAACACCTTCTCTTCGAAATTATTGTAGCCTTTACCTAAAATCTAGTAATTTTGAAAATAATTTCTTGTGAAATTAATAATTTAATTTTTTTCCTTGTAATTTCAAAAACTAGATGGGGACTCTTTTAAATCATTTTTATTTTTCATGATAAAAAAATATATAATTGAATTGATCGAACTACATGATGTTTAGCCGTAATTTATTTAATTAGGGATGTAAACAACTCATACTAATCGGATAAAATACTGTAAAAATATCACCAAAATGGAATTTCAAAATCTAATCTCTAGACTCATACTCGTTAATTTAAATAAAATATATTCCACTTTTATTAGAATGAAGAAGGAAGATAGAATTCAGACATGAACGCTTTAGCACTAGATTTTATGACTCTCCGTGTACAACAGCAAGGCAATTATTGTGAATTGAGAATGCTTCTCGATGACTCACCGCCGACAAACAGGTCATGCACAAACACAAAAAATAGTTAACCATGTTACTGATCAATCTCAACAACTGAATCGACTTAATTCATGGAGCTTCTTAACCATTAAAAATTTGTAGATTGTAGATGAGACTCATGATAGTAGTGTGGACTATGAAATTCACTTGGAAAATGCAGACGGAAAAGAGATTCTGAATAGGTGAAAACTTTTTTCTAATGCTGAAACTTCAAAAATCCTACTCCTGTGGGAGATTCTGATAAAAGAAACTGCAAAAATAGTAAGAATATGAATTTTATTCCTTCGTCACCATTGCTTCTTATAAGGAATAAAACTCAAGGTCTTGTCACTGTTGCTTTACTTTATCAGAATCTCCCATTGGAGTAGGATGTTTAGATTTTTTTGCATCATAAAAATGTAGTCACTTCGTCAAAGTTTTTTTTCCCATCTGCATACTCCAAGTGAATTTCATCTTCCGCACTACAATCATAATTTCCCACATACAATCATATGAAATTTTGGATGTAAGAAGCTCCCAAAAGTAAGAGGATTTAGCTGTTGAGATACACTAATAGTAGGGTTAACTATTTTTGTTGTTTGTGTATGAGTAGTTTGACGGCTGCGAGTCATCGGGGATTACTCTCAACACACAAGTTCTGCCTTCCTGTTGTTCACTGAGAGACCTAAAAATCACTGGGAAAGTCCAAGTGTTACAATTCCACTAGCATTGAAGTCAGAGGAGGTTCATGTTAAAAGATATTTATAAGTCGCATCTTTTCAGAGGTGAAGGATATGCACCCTATATATTTAATATTGAAGTTGGAGGAGCCTTGGGTTGAAGAATATTCATATTACATTGCCTGAAGTGGCAATGTTCACATCTATCCTATCTATGAATTACCATATGTTAAATTGATGGACATATATTTCGTTTTCCAAATATCTTACCAATGGATCACCTTCATATGTCCTACCGATGGGCATACATTTATATCCTATCAATGGATTATCTTTACTCGTCCTACAAATGGACATGTATTTATAATATACAGATGGACCGTCTTTGTTCATGCAACCGATTGACATACATTCATATCCTATCGATACATCATTTTCATTCGTACTACCGATGAACATGTATGTATATCGAATTGATGGGTGGCCTTCATTTATCCTACCGATAAACAAGTATTTATATCCTACAAATAGCTCAATAAATCTATATCAATGGATTCTAAAATGTTCCACCTATAGATATGCATTTATTTTGTTCAAACATATCTTATTAATTGTTCTTTCTTTTTTATCCTTCCAATGGACAAACATTTACAGTGCAAAATATCCTATTGATGGATTCTCATGTATCCTACCGACATACGAGCTTTTATTTTTCAAAAATTTTATCAGTAGAGTCACATTTGTTGTATCAAATGGACTCACAATCATTTTATCGCCATACTTATATTATGTCGATAGATATATTTGTATTTTTAATAAACACACATCACACTTCAATAATCAGACAAGGATGTTAACATTCATGGATTTTGAAGCAAGAATGTATTCGAATAACCAAGCTAATATTTTATGCACAAAAAATGCAAAAACGATGGTAAAGAGTATCGTACGGGATGCTACCTTTTTCTTTAAGTTATGCTCTTCTTTTTAATATTATCTTGGTGTTTTCGAGAACACCCAAAAGGACGCATCTAATTTTAGCCACATCATATATCATAGGACCCTTCGGGCGGTCCTTAGGGAGTCCTTACCTAATGTTTGGACCCTTTGTATTACATGTTACCTCTTTAGAGTCTTCTTACAAGTTTGAGAATTCATTTGACACTACCATACATTCACAAAACATAGGAACGTCAACTAGTTCAAATTAGCTAGTTTGCGGACGTCAAGGTCTTTCTTTTATTGTTTAGGCTCTAAGCTTTTCTAATTGAGTTCATTATTTTAGTATAGGTCTAGAAACATCATTTTAATAATTTTTCAATAGACTAAGCTCTAGTCTAAGCTATAAAACTTCCAACGTGTTACAATCTCTATTCTCCAAAAGTGTGTTGCAGATCCAACATCCATAGTTCCCTAGAAGGATAGGGAGTAGATGAAAGTCTCTATTATGAAGAAGTACCAGTTGAGATTCTAGACAGGCGAGCTAAAATATTGAGAAACAAGGAAGTTTCTTCTATGAAGGTATTGTAGAGAAACCACTTAGTCAAGGGTGGTTTATGGAAGGCCGATATAAAGTCATGCAATCCTCATCTTTGTCCTTTTACGCTAGCTTGAGGTAATGAGTTTCCTCTTGGTTTTTTATGATTTGAATTCATTTGTCTTTTAGATGTCCCATTATTTCCTTATGTTTAGCATGCTCTGTTTTGAAAGAAACGGACTATATGTTATTGAGTTTCCTTATATTGTAGTGCATTTGAGTATGAGCTGCCTATAGAATCAATGAGATGACTTGATGACATTTTTAGATATGCTTTTTGAGACTGAATTTCATATGAGCATCATGAGATTGTGTTGAGTATGTTTTGAGATGGAGAAGGCAGTTCCTCCTTGAATATGAAAAATCTGAACATGTTTTTATGCACATTGGGTGGTTAGATGTTGAACCTACTCCCTTAAAGTGCATTGAGGATATTTATCTTAGAGATGAAGTTCCTCCTTACTTGTGGTATTTAGATAAGTTGCATGCATGATGGGCTGCTAGTCCTTAGTTTTTTTTTTAGAAACATGCTTAGAATCTCTTGCGAGGATGAATGATCCCAAGGAGAAGATAATGCAGCAACCCATATCTGAAAAAGGGCAAACCACAACTTTCCATGTACTACAACAGCCAAACAACGTTGTTCACCCACGGCTCAAGGAGTGGACCACGAATACTAGTTGTGTCCGTGTTTGGCCTGCCCAGGCTTGACTTGAGGTCTTGAACAACGACCTGACAAAAGAATTGTTGGTCGGACCACTCTCCATGGTTGGGGGCATGTAGTTTGAGACCCCATAAACCATGTTGCTGACCACGAACCACAGATTACTAGGATGGGCTATTTTTCAGACCACGGTACGTCAACTGTGTCCTTAGGTCGTGGCCTGGCGGTTATTTGTAGGGGAAATTGGTTGTTTTTTGGTTTTAATTAAATCACATTGGTGTTGTTTTCCCTATTTCTAGGATGCCTATATAAACATTTTTAACCCCTACATCCCCGCATTGAACTTATTCTCACATCTTAAAAGAAAATCCTCTTAAATATTCTCTCTCTAGAAGTTGGAAGAAGATGGAATAAGAGGAATCTAGGTGAAGGTAAAGTATGCAATTAGCAAGATTTTCATCTAATTATAATCAAGGTATGATATCAATTCATCCATTGATATCTTCCATCCATTGAGTCACCTAGAATTTCTCCAATTTGAGAAGGAATTCCCGAATTCTAGCTATGGTTTCTTCAATTGTTGTGGGTTATGATGATTATGGATCCGATTGAGTTGGTTATGATTTTTTAATATAGAATTAGTATAATCACCTATTTTAAGAATGAAATTACATGTATCAACCCCTATTCCATTCTAACCTAGAATTAATATAATTGGGTTGATGCCTAAAGGTAAAATTTGTGGGTTTATATGTATCCTCATATGATTGGTGAATTATAAGTAGAATTTCTTGAGAATGAATCTTAGACGATGATTAGGAAATATTGGTCTTGAGAATAAAACGTATGATAAGAATTGTTAGTAATTGACGTCATTGTTGTGAAAGGGATACTTCCTACATAAATTGCTAATTATGAATGTGAAAGCCTTTTTCACATGAAAGGATTTCACACCTAAAATTATTCTAGTCTAATATAATGTGTAATTGATGAGGCTAGATTCATTTACCCTTGACCTCCATATGAAAGGATGTAACGTGATTCCCTTACTCCTGAAAATTGAACAAGACATGAATCCCCAAGTTCTCCTTATGATAAATGTACATGGAGGCAAGTACCCATGATTCCTATGAAGTAATGTGCAGGATAGTACACATTATATTATAAATGATGTGGAGGCGAGTAACTGCATCATATGATGAGGTTGTGGAGGCGAGTACCCACAATCTGAACATAAGTAAGGCAAGAGGTGAATACCCATTTGCCTTTATAAGCTAGGCAAAATGGCAAATCTTGTGTATTTAAAAGTAAGCATGAATAATGAGCTATGATGTAATGAATGAATAACTTGGATTGTTCCTAGAGATGCTTTACATGTGGTAAGATTCATTAGAGGCGGATGTCCCAAGTCTTGACTAAGTATGGGTAAGGTTGTTGGCGAAATACTCCTTTCTTATTTTGATGTTTATTTATGTGCGCCGATTATGCTTATGGTTTGTATTGACTATCAATATTTTTTATGTTTTTTATGGTAGCTATTATATTTGTTACTTGCTAACACATACTTTGCCTACATTCTTATCAAATGTAGGGTCCGCGACATTGACACTCATTCTTGTGGCTAGGATAATAGTACCTCATGAAAGTGAAGATTGGAGTGTCCTCATTGGATTAGAGGATGTCATGACCACTTTATTTTATGTCTTTCTTTTAAGTCATGGATTATTTCATGAGTTATGTACCTAAATTATAATTATGATATTTAGATGGTTTGAGGCAATGATGTTAGACTTCCTCTACGTTTTATAAAGAATTTGACTGTATTAATAAGTTTAAAATTATCTCTCATTTCTGTTACTTTATGTTATTTTATGCTAAATTACTAGTATGAGCCGTCCCGGGGTTTCATACGGCTTGTTACATCTGTAGGTGTAACACTCTGAATGTCTATGACTTTAACTAGAGCATAAGATGTTGATATAAGAATAGTAACACAGTCATAAGACCTAAAATAATGTTAATAAATCATTTAGGAAGTGTTGGAGTAAACATAAAAAAACTTATGTGACGTCCGAAGCTAGTCTAGTTTAACTAGTGAAACATCCTTAGGTTTCAAGAAGGTTTAGAGGCGTTGTATGAGGTCTAAATCTTGTAAAATTACTTTAAATAGGTAAAACATAGTATATATAATGAATACGTCCAGGTTGGACCCCTCAAGGATCACCCTACGGGTCCACGAGAGGACCCCAAACTTGTCTTGATAAGCTGCCAAGGAAGCAACCAAATTACACATAGGAGAAACAAGTCCGCGTCACGGACTTGGATGGCCCTTGGTAAAATTTCAAATCTGCATTGCGAGGACTTTGCGGACTCCACTATCTGGAAAAATAATTTAGAAAATCATGCGGGAGCAGCTCCGTGTCGCGGACTTGTTCCCCGACGAAAATCTGAAATTTGGAATTCAAGTTTGACTTCATTAAAGGTCCAACATAAGTTAGGGGTGTTTTTGGTATTTCATCGGAGATCTATATATTGATTTCAAATCAGTTTTTCTCACATTTTAACTCACTCAAATTATATCCCCAAAATCAAAACTCAAAAGTTCTCACCCCTCTTTATTTTCTCTCCCTATTCAACCTCCATTGAAGAAAGAACAAAGCTTGAAGAAGAAGACCGATTTCTCTAGGATTTCACTTGAGTTTCATTGAATAGTCTCTCCATTCAATCGCACAAAAAATTCTAAATTTGGTCTCTTAGTCTCACCATTCTTGATGGAGGGAAAAATCTTTCGTATGATTCCTATAAGAATTACTCCCAAGAAGTCATAGATTCCCTAGGTAATTTTTTCATTAAGTGTTTTTCCTCCCCCATGAGAGAAAAGGGAAATAAACGAAGTCGGATTGACTCTAAAGAGATATATTTAATAGACAACAGTCCACACATCCACAAATTTGCGAATATCATCCTAAGGGTCCTCGTGAGAAAGTCCCCCAAATAGACATTTAATTTGTAACAGCTGCAACATAGTGTTGGTCACATGAAACACTTCATTTCCCATAGTTTGAGGAAATAAAATACCACCCGCAACTCCAAGCTGCAATATATTAATATCATGATGTTTTGATAGTTATTGTTTTTCCCAATTCGACTAGCATTTCTCCTGTTCAAACTCATTTCTTCACCAAGATAATAAAAACAACAAACACACTAATAACATAATTCTACTAAAATAGAGTTATTTCACAAAATCACACCAATAAAGAAATTCTAGATACCACTTCCTAGCAGCGGCACCATTTGTGATAACGCTCAACAAAACTTCTTCCAATGCATAGTGTAGGCGATATAGACTTAACAAAGAGTTGGGATCAATCCCATAGGGAGTGATACGCTAGATATTCAATTATGAAATAAAGACGTGTTCTTAGCACTTGTAGGAGTAAGTAACTACGCAATATGTTCTAAATCACTATGTTTTAGGGATTCATATCCAATGGGGGATTCACTAAACAATTTCTTACAAAGAACAATCAAAAAAAGAAATTGAACTATGAGATAAGGAACCTTAGAAAAGTGAGTAATCGAATGATAATTTCACTAAATTGGTGGTTATTAATATCTTAAATTTGTTGAATTATAACGTGTAGGCTAGGTTTTAACAAGGACACTCATTTCTCAATCAACTATCATTTTAATTTGCGCACCAGTTCTTCTGAACCTTGATATGCTTCACATGACAAACCAACCAAAAAGCTTGATTAAACCCACTTTCTAAAGCTAGATAGTAAACATGCAGTCAAACCCGTTTTCTCAAGTTTGGTTGTATAGATGCAAATCAATATAATCATTAATGGTTTATTCAACTCTAAACCTCTTTCTCAAGCAAGCATTGAGCACTAATCTAGAACTGAATTTACAAATTCAATGCATCAAATAAAAATATAAATGAACAATTCAACCCACTTTATATCAAAAATAAAATCAGCAATTAAGAACACTCATAAGCTAATGAATGAATTCCACTACATGGTCACACCTCTAACAAAAGGGATTTCAACCAAGCATAATAAAGAGTAAGAAATCCTTAACAAAGAGAATATAAATTTAAATTAGTTACAAATTTCAATAATCAAATCCCAAGTTAGTACTAGAATGAAAAATCCTCAAAATAAAGATCCAAAATCCCTCTACAGTGTTCAATAAAGTAAGAATGTGTAAAAATCTCTCAAATTGTCTAACTCTCTAAAATTCTTTTCAAAAATTCATTTATACCCTTCAAAAAACATTCCAATAATCTCAACACAGAGCCCAATTGATGCAGTATGTTGGGATCGTCAAACAGCTTGGCGATCCGCTGAGCTACACAAGATCTCGCCTTTTGATTTGGCTCGTGAGTCTAATCTTTCTACAAATTTAGGTTATATGGATCATTATATTCAATCCTTTTTGTGCATCACCGACCTCTCTCTGTGCTTGTTGAGTTGGTTTAGTCCATGGGATGCCACATAGGAAGGTTTGATGATCTCGAGTCTCACTCGTAGTGATGTCGAGTAGATTTTGCGCACTCCAACTTCTATTATCTTCAACTTTTCCATATATGAAGGTTTGGCGAGCATGAGGCTCACTCAGCGCGTCACCGTGTAGTTTTTGCGTAGTCAAACTTCTCTCTTCTTTAACTTTTCCATCTTTTCGCTTTTGTAGTATCCTTGCCCTGTTATAAGGTCTTTAAGCTTCACAAAAGCATACTAATATTAGTAATAAATACATCATATTCATTAACGACACTAATTCCGAAAATAACAAGCCCTAAATGATAAATTCCAGATACATCACCTATCATCTATCAGTAGTTGAGCATTTAATCCAATTAGAAGTACACGTCTTTCACAAATACAAGACAAGTTATTGCCACCTTAGAGCACCCAAAGTTGGAACATAGAGTACTTGACCCCGAAGGGTCTTATAGAAGCCCTTAGCATTCATCATCGCATAAAGACATTGAAGAATACGGAATAATAAAAACCTTTTGAAATAGAAGTGAACTTCTTTAATATAAGAAAATAGGATCTAGACATAGTCTCATTCATCATCTAAACATAAGAGTACAAACCTAGGTATCAAGCCTTTTACATCAATAATATAAAAAAGTAGGAAATACGATATAGTCTTAGAACATAGTGCAACTAGAATCAAGCATAAATGGTTCTCGAACTTGAGGACTCACCAAGCAAGGGAATAGTCAATCCAACGTTCTTAAGAAATGACAATTATCCACGACCAGAATTTGCATTCATAGTAAAGTATAAAATATGGTTTAGTACAATCTATATGCACTATATGTACGAAAACCATGCAATTAAAACCATTAAAGCATTCACAAAAGGGACTTTTAGTTGGAAACATGTTAATTCAAATTAGTCCATAATGCATAGTTAAGGAATATACAATCAATCCATACCGAAGCGACATTCATAATCATAAGCACATTATATAAAGTCATATTCTATACCTTAAATGCTTGAGTTCAATTAACATTACATCATAGGACATCACTCACAACCCCCTTTCAAGCCCAGTAGTGCAATGTACATTACAAAGTGCCATACCCGCATATGTACTATCTAAACGATCAAGAGCTCATAAGCATAGTCACATAATTAATTAGTCATTATAATAAGTAAATCATGACATTATTTATAAATAACCATGCAAACCAATCATGAAATTATTCACAAATAACCATGCATGGAGAACTCACCTTAGAACCACTCTTAAGACCCAATTGTTCCATACATAAGTAACGTTCCATACCATCACCTACACTAAATAGTATCCCTCGAGAAGCCTTGTTATAGTTCATGTTCTTATATTATTTCACATTTAAAGAATTCAGTAAACTTTGCCATAACCGAAGAAGACCATGTGATCTACATGGAATCTAGTGTCTACTTCCTACACCGAAAAGAGAGTGTCCTACTTGCCATGTTAGGAGATACATTAATGATAGGATCCACTAGCTAAGAGTCCTATGAGGGTGTGTAGTTATGAGATATGGAGATTTCTACTAGAAACCTTGCACTTACTAACGTGTGGGTTTCAATCTCATGAGACAACATAGTGGGAACCTCTGTTCCTTTATGAAGGAACAAATCATACTTTCATATCCACTAGGTACTAATCTCAAATTCCCTTTTTAGGTAATCGATAGTCTATACTTATGCATTGGTTCATCAGGAATACCTTAATGACTTAATCTATCAGATATCATATAGGTCAAAGGTTTGAAGATGAGAATAACCTTTCATCATAGAACCAACATCATGTGAGAACTCATCTTTCATATCATAGTCATATAGTGCTCATGAGAATTACCTTAAACTTAATATAACAACACATTCATGATCATCTAACAATATTCATGTTCATATCATAATATGCGTAGCCATATGATAGAATATTTGGTAATACATAGGGTTATAGGAAAGAGGAAACCATAATTCAACTCCACAATATATAATCAAGTAATCATCTATATTACAATTGAACAAACAATTCAATACAATAATACACATCACCTTGAAAACCCTTACTCATAAACTTCAAAGATTTCCTTCAATAGTGTAACCCTAATTCCTTGTAATTAATTCATAATGTAGACCAATACCATAATACAATTAATTAATTATAAAACAACAACTTTGATAATCATCTCTCAATCATCATCAACCACAAGCTATGGTTTAAAACATGGAAAAGAGTGAAGGTTCATGGGTCTTGGGGAATTTCATTTAAAAAAAATATTATTACTTGAATTCATCTATAAACATACATAAATGATCATAATTAAT